TAATTACTTTTAACTTTTATGTTATTTAAATCTTTCCAATTTTTTTCTTTAAACTCAGTCATGTTTCAGCTCCAAAACTTTATGCTCTTTTTATATGTTTATAGGTCAGATCAAGACAAGGCCTACATGTATAATTGTGAAGTGGAAATATTAATATGTAGATAATCTGAAAATTTGCTGCAATTTGTATTAATTTCCTTTTGATTCAATTGTTGAACTGCCTTTGCAACATTTAGAGCTTTAAATCTTTCAGTTCTGTGTGAATGAAATTTGTTACATGTATATTTAAAATACAAAAAAATGCCTAAACTCTGAAAGATTGGAAGGAGGATATCTGAGACACCCTTTTGTAGGCTATAATTTGGGACTGATCCAGCTGATATTTATTTTCACTGACAAGGGGCAGGATTGCTTTCTAATTAGTGAGAGATTTTGCTGTTGTCTAGGCTTTCCATGCCCAACCCTAACCCACACTGGCGTGTTTAGTACTTATTTCACCAGCAGGACCTGCATTAATCTTCAAAACAACTATTTGAACAAAATATTCCCCATAGCATGAGGATATTTCAACATGTTTTACCATAGCAAAGGCTTTTCTTTCAACATAGTGGTTTGAATGTTTTCCAAACTTTCGAGAAGGGTAACATCTTTAACATGTTAGGCACTTTCTGTCATAATGGGCTTTAAAGATCTGACCCACATGCAGAGAAACAGTCAGAAACCAAGGGTAAAAGTTAACTGGTTTATTAAAGGTTTGCAGAGAAATACAGGAGAGAGATATTCTGCTGGGTAATAATGTTGGACCTCAGTGGACTGGTGAACCGGAACTGGAAACTCTGAAGGGAAGGTCACTATGATCAGTTCAGGGACCGTGGGAAACAAAGACTGAGACTTGTATTTTGCTGGAGAGGCACTCACCCTTTGGGGGGCTCTTGGTTATTGATTTGATCCAGTTTGTGCGGTTTAATCCAGAAAAGAAGGAACTCATTGGAGAGTGGACAGGCAGACTAATGTTGGACCCAGAGGAGTAAAGGAGTGGACTGTCACCTGGTTTTCCAGAGGTGGACTTGAACGGATCATGTGGAGGTTTCTTCTTGCTCAGTGTGACTCAGATTATCCTTCCAGGGACGTAGAAGGTCCAGGATTATCCAGTGTTTCAGGAAGGCTTCCTGCCGAAGAACAAACACAAAACAAGCTTAGACTAAAAGAGAAAAAGACTAAGGTTAGACTCTGCTAATCTCAGTATGGCTAGAGTACCCAACACTGGCAAACACTCTGGCATAGAGGTAGTGACAGCCTGCTGCTCATATACTCCTCTGGTAATGACCCAATGAGCCGCAGGTGTGCAGGGAGATCCAACGAGGACAGGGCACCATCTGGTGGTGGAGAGAAGAAAAACACGGAAACAACCCAGACAAACTGGAATCCTAACACTTTCTATGCTTTCTTTGAACAGTGGCTTTCATCATTCCAGTGCTTCCTAAAGACCAGATTTGAAAAACGTACAGCGCTAATAAGTGTCAAAAGATTCTCCCATGTACAATATCAATCTCTGCGTTTTATCCAGAATAATCATGTTTTTCTAGTTTTTTAGTTTAGTTATTGTGGCTATCCTTGACATGGATTCTTTTAATAACTGCTGACCTGTCTGAACTGTTTTTCTAACAGATCTCTAAGACCATTTCGATTAAATTTAGGGGAGGAATAATTAAAGGATGTATCTTATATTTTTAGAAAAAAAATTGTCATATTTTCCTTCACCTTACCATCATGTAACCTGGCATAAGTCAGAATGATGTAGCTCTATTTGACTTCTACACATTATCAATCTGGCAAGACTCCTGTAGAAGTTCTTTGCAAAAGGGCGGGACATTCAATTCTTCCATCTGATTGGGAAAATCCAGTTACACATGCCTCCCATGTTGAGCGTTTAGCCAATCACAGCAGCAGCATCGAGATCTGACTTATAATACCCTTGGTTTGTTTCACAACTAGCAGAGTTACCTGTTGATTTAGACTCTTAACAAATCCAGGTTGGGAAAGATGTTTCCCACCCACCGAGGCAAAAATCTCTTATTTTGCTCGTCTTTGAGAAAGAAATAGAGCGTATTTCTGCTCAAACTCCCGCAGCCATTTTTGCTTCAGCCTTCCACCTCTTGTCGACGCGATGAAATCATAGACATCCCTGCATTTCATTGGTCCAAAACATTTCTGTATTGAGGATAATGCATCCTTTGGCCTCTGGCAAGATACGTTTTTGTGAGTTCGTGAATTCACAAAACTTATGATATTTCATTTTGCTTGCAAGGTAAACAATCATGCTTTAGTTTAGGCATCCCAAAAGTTGGTCCCCGAGGGCCGCCGTCCTGCAGGTTTTAAAGGTTTCCCTGCTTCAGCACAGCTGATTTCCATTGATAGCTGATTAACAGGCTTTTTTCTGAACTGCAGTCATCAAAATCAGCTGTGCTAAAGCAGGGAAAACTCTAAAACCTGCAGGACAGCAGCTCTAGGGAACGTCTTTGAGGATGTCTACTTTAGGTCTTCCTTTAGGTCACACTGAATCTATCATCCAACCATTTTCTGTCCCGCTTATCCCTGCTGGGTTGGCGAGGGATGCTGGTGCTGTCTATGGGTGAGGGGAGGGGTCTACCCAGAACAGGTTGCCAGTCTATCTCAGGGCAACCACACTGAATCTAAGCAGATTAAATTGAGTTGACATAACATAAAAAAGTTATAAAGTTATAAACTTTATAAAGTTGATCAGACTTGATCGGTGAAAAATACAGAAAAAAATACAGCTGTGTGAAGTTCTTATTGCTCTTTTAAATCATTATTATAAATTAACATTCTGTTAAAGAATTAAACTAAAACACAATTTCAGATTTGTCAACTCTATTATTAAAAAATCCAATCCAATCCACTTTATTTATATAGCACGATTTAAATAAACACAAGGTTTCCAAAGTGCTGCACAAAAAGATAAAATAACTAAAATAAATAAAAGTAAATAAAATAAAATAAAAGCACTGCCCGCACAGCATAAAAATATGCATGTGTATACATAAAATCAACACTCTACATGGTGTCAAAAAAGTGCAGAAGTTTAAGCGGACAAGTCAAGCCCCTAGTTAAGCTTAAAAATAAGGTGTCTATGTTGTGACCAACCAACTGACATGACCTCCAGGATCAGCGCCATTTTTAGGGGTGGTAGCAGTTGTAAGTAAATATGAGGTCATGAAAATGAAGGATAAGCTTCTGCCCTTTTAACAATTAGATGGTCTGATAGGAGAGCAGAGTCTGAGTGCGCCACAGCCACTGATCTGTCTGATGAGATTAGCCAGCAGGACCTCTCTTCTCAAACTAATTTAAAAAATGCATCTTCGTTCAACCAGGCCGTCCCTCCTCATCTGCTGCATGGATAGACCTGTGGAAAGAAAAAAAGCGGGTAAATTGTCAAACCAGGAAGGCATAAAAACCTAAATGCTGCAATTTTTTCTGTGTCTCTTTAAATAAAGAAAATTAAATAAAGAATTCTAATTAGTATTTTTGTTATGAATATGTAGTAAGAAATCAACTTTCCTTCCTTTCCAGGGATAAATTGCTGTTTTTCATGTGCATTCACCTGCGTTTTTCCCACTGCTCCATAAAAGTTTTTAAAATGCTTCATCTGGAGTTTTTTGCTTGGTCCAAAAAAAGGTTAAAATAAAAAAATCACTATCGGTGAAAGCTTTTGCAGGAAGGCAAAAATGGAAAAACAGCTGTTTGGTCTGCTCCCGTTTCTGTTGCATAACCTTTTCCGTATCCCATTTGTCTCTTTTAGATTGCAAGTGTTTAGCTTTTTGCTGCCATATAATTTTGCAGTCAAATGGCTTCACCTTGATTAATGAAATGTGTCCACATTTCCAAAAATTTGAAACATCAAAATGAATGAAAACACAGATGTTCACCAATAACCAGAAGTAGCAAGTTCTCCTGCATGCAGCTCCTCATAGTTTAGCTGCTTTACCTGAAAATGATTTGGGCTGCATGGTGGAATGATGGTTGCTACTACAATCCGTTTGTAAAAAAATCTGCCATTATCACGGCCTGCACTGATTATCAAGAAATGAGCCAGGCCAGAAAATGGAAGAACTGATGGATAAGATTAAACCCTGACTGTACAGTGCTTTTTTTCGTTTTTTTTTTTTTTTTTTTTTTTATCTTGCAGCATCTTTATGTCCAGGAGCTAAGAAAAGAAACTCCAGAAAGTTGTATAAGACATACTTTTTAGCAAAGCAATAACACGAAACAAACTAGGAATCAATTTTCTGATGTAAAATGTAAATAATTAGCTTCAGCATTTCTACTGAATCAGATAAAGAGGAGGATTTGGGGGTGGGGGCGTGGCCTGATGCCTACTGTGCCATATCCAACTGGAAAACAATGCTGAAGAGCAGACGAATAGAACAGAACAGAATAGAATAGAATCGAGAATCTCTTTATTGTTCCCCAATGTGGAGATTCTGGTGTTTACAGCAGCAAAAATATAGAACAAAATGGTCATTAGAAAATTTAGAAAAATGTATAAGAATAACATAATAGTGAAGAGTTAAAAGATAAACAATACAATACTGTAAAGTTTTTTAACAATATAAAACTGGAGAATAAATAACCAATATGCAGCTATGGACATTTTTACAGTAATTTGAAAATAGCAGCAACATCAGAGATGTGCAGAATGACAGCAGCAGGTTATTCAACTGACGAAGGTAGAAACTGAGCAAAATCAGCATGAATGGAAGAACTGGTTGAGGTTGTTGGGAACAGTGGTGGTTCTAGAGTCTTCCAGCTGCTGGGAGGAAGGATCTGTGATAACGCTCCCTGGTGCATTTAAGGTGCAGCAGTCTGTCACTGGAGGAGCTGTCCAGTTCAGCACCAGCTTCATGCATAAGAAAAAGCTTTTGATCTTTTCAGATAACCACCAAAGACTGAGGCTTTCTTCTTCTTCTGTGTGTTTGCAGATATGTCTGATGTCCCGTGAGATTTGGGAGGCCCCCAGCATCCTGCCCTGGTGCCACACAGCTGGCTAACTAGGATGGAGCACACCCATTCTCTGAGAAATGAGCTAGACTCAGTACTTTCAATAGAGCAGATCCGTGCTATCCGGGCCAACAATGACTATGTGGAGAGACCGGTGGCATTGGAACCGGCATCCCAGTCAGGATTCTACTACGCCCATGAGGACCGTATCGTATACAGCCATCACCCCCAGCCTTCCTCTCTCTCCTCTGCTCTGTCCCGTAGTCAGAGTCAGCAGCAGCATGCTCATCTGGCCCACCTGAGCCGCTCCAGCACAGTAAGCTCCTCCATTTCTCGAACCAGCGCCACGTCCGACCAGCGGCTTCTGGCAGGTTTGACTTCATCTCACTCTGGCTTTAGCACGGCTGTCCACTTTCAGCCTAAAGGGGAGCTTAAGTCCGACACTTCATTTGGTAAAGGGCTAACAGATGATGAACATTTGTTCATCTGTGAGAGGTGCGGTCGATGTAAGTGTCAAGAGTGCTGCAACCCCCGCCGGCTTCCATCTTGCTGGGCTTGCGGACAACGATGTCTTTGCTCCCCTGAGACCGCCGTGGAGTACAGTACATGCTTGTGTTGTGTGAAAGGCCTGTTCTATCACTGTTCTGCCCAAGATGACGAGGATAACTGCGCTGATCGGCCATGCTCCTGCACTTCAGCCCACGCCTGTGCTCGCTGGAGCACCATGGCCCTGCTGGCCCTCTGTCTGCCCTGCCTCTGCTGCTACCCCCCTGCCAAGATGTGTCTTGCACTATGCCAGTGTGCCCATGACCGAGCCACACGGCCTGGATGCAGGTGCAGCAACACCAACACAGTGTGTCGCAAAATTTCTGCCTCCAACCCTAATGCTGGTTACCCCCCGCTGCGAAGCAAAGACCTGGAAAAGTCCCTATGACATATTTAGAGAAGGGAAATGACCAATGCAAAGTGGAGATACCGGCATCCACCTGCCTTCAGATATACCGACCCAACAAACATGCTATGGAAGCGTTATTCTCCTAGTACACTTTGAATTTGAATCTCCAGCTCACGGGGGACCAACTATTTATTGTGCCTGTTCATGTTGGAGAGCTAATGCCTGAAACCGGGAGCTCAGCTTGAAGGAGAAACCATCAGTTTACCTTTTAACAATTCTCAGACAGCAAGAACCTCTCTTTGCCTTTTGTCACGTTATCTCAACCTGATAAAATCTATTTATTTATAGTGAAACCTCCTTCCTCCCCACCCTGAGCAAAGAGTCTGAGCAGAACACAGAGGGAAGCGACCGACCGAGAGAGAAAGGAAAGGGGCCCCTGGCGCTGTGTACAATCTTTGCCAACAGGCGTTCTGCTCTCCTGGAACAGAAATCTAGATCAAGTACTCAAATTAATCCTAAGATGCATTTCTTACAATACAAGGAGAAAAGGGAAATATGAACGTTTTTTTGCTATGTTGAACGCTTGACTAGGGCTAAGCAAAGCATCAAGGACATATAGTGACTGTACCCACAATCTGAAACCAAAAATGGGACCATGCACTGTACCGAGTGAGTTTAAATGTTATTAAAGGGGCCCTGTCACGTCGTATGCTAATGAAGAAAACACAACAAAACATATATTCTTCTTCAGAGATATACGCCAAGCGTTTCTCCCGCTAGTGTTTACTAAGCTGTTTTTAAGCCTGAAAAAGAATGTTTGCAGAAGCATTTAGCGATTGGCGTAAAAAAAAAACAGAAGCTAGGTAGTATTTTCAGAATGTGACGGGGCCCCTTTAAGATTGTTTGTTAGAGAAAAACACTGTGAGGTGGATGGACGATTTTTTCTGCCCAGAACTGAACTGGGAATTATTTAACCAGAGAGGATGCATCAGTTGTGTCATGGTAGCGTGTGAGGCCGTGTGCAAATGTGTCTATGCGTCCTCCTGCTGTACAACCTTTGTGCGCATGTTGTGTGTGTGTGAGTGTGTTGTTTGGTCAGCAGAAGAAGCCTCCTTGTCTTTATTTTTAGCTTTATTCAAGCACCAGGGGTCTGGTCAGGTTTCCTCTTCAAGTCAGTCTGTCGCCAGCCTCACGGTGCTCTCCAACCTCCATCTTCCGTCTCCACCTCTCTTTTTTATCTATGCGCTCAACCACCAATCAGGTAATACCAGGGTTAGGATTAGCTCTGTTAATAGCCAACATTAGCTTTGGAAGAACTTGGTTTTAGATCTTAGAAAATGAAACGTTTTGAAGCAATGCCGTCTGATGAAGGCTGAGCTCAAAGAGATGGAAGAGAACCACGATTCAACAAAAAAATATGCAAGTGGCCTTTATATTGTATCTCCCTACTGCCTCGTCTTTCTTCCCTCTACAGCTCAGAGGGCTAAAAGCCTCGAGTTCCAGGCCCACAGAGAGTTGATCAAACAGGCAATTAGCTTCCTGTTAGCCCTTAATGGGCCATAGAAGACTGGAGTGTGGGAGGGAGAGAGGAGAGCCAACAGGATGCAAAGAGTTGTGGTGTTTGGCAGATGGAGAGAGGGATGCTAAGAGGGGAAAAAAAGCTTGATATTGCAATGAGGTCATCCTTTTTTATTTCAGCACTTCAGACTTCGATGCAGGGGTAATGCAAGAGAGATTCTCCAAAAGGGAGCTTCTAAAGTAAACGAAAACAACAATCACGTTGATTTGGGTGTGGATTAGTATGAAGGTGGGGGCATATGCAAACATGTTTAATGTCTGTGTGTGTGAGTTTAAGAATGATTGCATTTTAGCTTGTCTGAGCACTTAAGCACTGACCTTCACACTGACCTGTTTGTTTGCTATATTTTTATATGTAATTTGGGACCATCTACTGTATAAATATTTTTATTCTGTTTCATGTTCTGACACTTATTGTTTTCCATTTGCAATGTCCTGTTTTACCAAACACTGGTGAGCTTTTCAGAAACGTTTGGGGCAACTCTCAGGTGCTGCACAGATCCCAATTACAAAAGGCATTGTGATAAAGAAAACTGTTCTTTTTAAAATTTAAAGCTGAAAAAAAACTATTTTAACCTTTTCACAACATGAGGACCCAAATTTGGATCCTCAGCACTCGCCCCAAGATGGTTTTTAGACCTGTAACATATTCTCTGGGGTCTTGCCTTTATTTTGATACCAAAACAACTAAAATAAACTCTGTAGTTCTTGAGATATATTCAATTCATTTTGGGCATGTTATTTTCAAGCATATTTCTCGAAAACAGGCCTAGTGTCCAAGAGGTTAAAGGTCACTTTCCTCAAAATTTACCATACCAGCCTAAAGAACAGTGCAATTAAAAATAATCTGCTTTCTTTACTTTACTGTCGATCATATTTCTGTTTGTTCATGGAGGAAATGTTAGGATTAGACCAAGAAAACTTTGAAAAATAAAAGATGCAAGTTTGCACTTTTTTCTTTAAACCACTGAGACGCAGATTAACTTTGGATCATTGCCCATAAAATGTTTAATCATTATTCCAGAACAGTCCATAGATATCTCATCAGTCTGTAAAATATTATTTCAAGTGTTTAAGTTGGGCTTTTACAAATGTAAGAAGTGCCTTTGGGTTATTTTTGGCCAAAAGTGGCTTTAGCCCTTCGAACTCTCTAAGTTTCTTTTCTAAGCTCCCGGATGAGTCGTCTAAGCACTCTTAGATCATTTTAGTATTTCCTGTGAAAGATGTTTTTGCTGTTTCATGTTTCCTCTATTAATGGATTATGGCTGCAGAACCGAAGCCTTTTAAGACACAGAAGAAGCTTTGCTGCTTATCTGTTCTTAATTTATTTTTTAATGACATGCAATCCTCTTTATGATTCTTCATCATTCTTCATGTTGTCAAACAGTTTCTATTTAAGGATTTGGGGTTTGCACATGTCAGGCCAGTGAAATTCAATGCAAAAACTTTGGTAGATTGCAGAAAACGACTGATTATATTTTTTCTTTTGTCGTGGCAGTCTTTTTAAATTAGAGTGGTCGTTATAAAAATAGATTTTGAAACCACTCAGGTGATCTTATTCTAATATTAAAGCGACCTAGAAAAATAATTATAATACAAAAGCAAAACCAAAGGAAACATTAAGGGGTAAATACTTAGACAAACTTTATTGCCATTTTGTACACAGAGTGTAAACAAAAAGAAATACAGCTAATTTTTTTTAAAGTGCAGCCGTGATAATGTAAGAAATTGTTGAGAGCTGTTCTTGGCCGCTGCCTCGGAGCGTCACCATGGTAACCCAGATACAAATACTTTAAAATCTACTCCATGTAGAAAGGTTACTATGAAGCTTTTCTGTAAATTTAGGACAATCTCATCTGCAGCCCTTTTTGACACATGTTGACATGAAACTATATTTTTTTTAAATAAAAAATCCTTCCCGTTTGTTGGAAATTTTGATCCACAGAGATGCTGGGAAACTGAACCAGCACCCTGAGTCACTCTTATTAAGCTAAAAAGATGCAACAATTGTAAACCAGCTATCTGAGCAAATACAGAAGCACAACTTATTAACCAGCTGCTAAAAGCTTGTTGTACTTTTTAATAAAGTTAATAAAGAGGAAAACAAAGCAAAAAGTGGTAATTTCCTATACAATAAGCACCTGAAAGCTTTAGCCAAATTTTTGCAAGCGTTCAATCCTTTCTGTTGCTTTACTCTGAGATTTAAAGCTGACAATGATTAAAAAACCAAATGGACTTTTTCCCAGTTGTTACCGTGTAACATTTAACACTGGTCAATATGAAATAGCATAACAACTAAAAACTGTATTTTTTTTTTTACAACAAGCACTTAAAAACTTCCAAAAAGTAATCACTCCACACAATTACTAAAGTATACGATCCAAGCAGACAAGCAGGCATAAACGATAAAGACCAACAAAGTTATAAAAGCATGAACATTTAAAATCAGCTAATATCTGTTAGAAGAGGTGGGTAGAGACTTATTGCATTTACATCAAATAATATCAGTACTTGGGTAACATGTCTGGCCACCATCATGGCTAACAACCCTCAGAGAAGAAGAAGCATGTTTCAGACCAAAGATGCATCAGAGACACACACACACTTTATGCTTTTTGTTATTTCTTTCTTTAACAGAAGCTCTATTGCTTCAGTGTTATTTTTTGAAGGGAAATGCAATAAACTGTGTCTTCTTATTGGAAGTATCCTACACGCTTCTAATCTTTTCAAAGCAAATATTTTTTAAATTACCACCAAACAATTTTTACTCTTACTGCTCATTTCTTCCTTTGCTACTTCTCACTTTTACTTCAGTAAAAATGCAGTGAAGTAGTTCAACTGTTACTTAAATACTATTTACGGGTATATTGCCCTCTTCTGATTAGAGAAACATTTAAAATATATTTGTGGACTTCAAAGTAAGCATTTCTATGTTTTTAAAATTGTTTTTAATGTAAAATGTGGTTTAATGGTTTAATGACATTAGAGAGATTGTTAAACAATGAATGCTGTCCAGGGGAAGGTAGGATTAACCAATGGCTGGTTTGGTGTAACTGAGCACGAGTTGCCCCTCATGTTTCTGTGCAGCACTGATCCTGGAGGGACGGTGGGCAACTGATTAAATATCCTCATCCTTTTAATGCAGTTTTTTTTATCCAAAGTTGCAACTTTAGTAGTCCACCAAAAACATCATCAGATTCTCAGTAATAAAATCAAATCACTTAGAAATATGTCGATATAAATGAAGATAAATGTGAGAACCCGTTTTTAGGAAAAAACTAGACAGATAAAACCATGTTTTATGAAAATAAAAATAGTTCCTCATGGAAGCCACTTTTTATACTTTGCTGGCACATGCATGCAGTTGTGACTAAAGCTGAAAAGCATCTGAACAGTTTGGGTTTCTAATCAGGAAAACAAGAGTGTTTGGTTGAATATTTTTCTATGTTTTCCAAAGCGTCGTCGTTATTGTGGAGCCAGAGGATTCTGTTCAGAATCTCATCAACGCCGACTGAACACCTGCAGTCAAACCTTGGTGCTTCTGAGGAACATCTGAGGAACAACGCTGTCATTCTGGACATGTTTTAGCTTTAATTCATAATAGTTTTCGTTTATTCATGAACAAAATGCATAAAGGTGAAATGTGGGGAAAATCTAAACTCGACTCAAGAGGAATTAAATTATGATGATAATTTTCAAGGTTTATAATTACATTTTTACATATTTTATATCTTTCTTCCCTCCCTTTATTATTAGTGTGGTTTCTATCGCCCCCTTCCTTCCTTCCTTCCTTCCTTCCTTCCTTCCTTCCTTCCTTCCTTCCTTCCTCCTTCCTTCCTTCCTTCCTTCCTTCCTTCCTTCCTTCCTTCCTTCCTTCCTTCCTTCCTTCCTTCCTGACCTCACTACAAATATCATTTGTACGTTTATTAGCTATTACATTTATTATTTAAAAAATTGCCCAAACGTGACCAACAGCTGTTAATTTGAGTCCAGACTCTGTTGGTGAGGATGCGTTACTGCTCCTTGTCCTTGTCTGGATGTGTCTGTATGAGTCAGCAAGTTTAAATCCTATGCATTATGTCGACCTGCGCTTGTGTCAGGAATCTGTCTGCTGCTACGTTCGAAGGCTAACAGTAAAAACTAAACTTCTCCTTGAGTCATAGCAAGCATCATCTCTGGTGCTAATTGGCATCTTGTAAGTTGAAAAATCAATTTAGGGAGAGTATATAGAACAAATATATATATATAAATCTATCTAAAATAAATATATTATCTATAAAACAACATGCACACTTGGTTCCACTGCAGATTTTGCTTCAGTTATACTTTTTAAACGGTTGCAAAGGTTGCGCTAACAATAACCATGTTGCATTTATTTTACAGCACTAAGTGAAAACAAAGAGCATCCATGTTGTTGTTTGTATTTGGAGTTTGTTTGTCACAGTGTGGTGTGGCTGCTGCTGCCCTACTGGCAAAAGATGAACCAATAAAAAAACAGTTTCCAAACAAAACTGGAGTTCATGTGGTCTGATTTCCCATGCAGCTGTTCCTCTAGTGGGTTCTGGGTTGGTCCAAGGATTTTTCACCCAGTGGGATGTCGGAGGTAGACGTCCAAACTAAATCCAGAGAAATAGACCCTAATATGTCTAATCATGTTAAAGGAAAAGTCGCTAATATTCAGAATTCAAACTTCTGAAAGTTCTTTAAATCTGAAATGATTCCATCCTGTTCAATAAATGATCAGTGTTTTTAATTCAGAGTAATTTTCATGTGAATGTGCTTTACTGGAGGCATCCATGTTTGTCAAAGAACACTACTGCCACCTACTGGTTAGTAACGTCACGGTGCGGTATCGGCTGTTGATCAAGTCCCAGTGCTGTATCTGGTGTTTGTCACAACGCGCTATTATCCAAGTCATCTTGAAAACATTCTTCTTCCAAATGTTGGCTACATATTACGGGTTTTTTCTCTGGCCAGAAGTTCGATGGCAAATCCTCCCTCTTCAAGTTGGCGATCCAACGACCAACCCGTCCGTGGAGGATCAGGAATCAGAAAGGTGGAATAACTCTTTGTTTCACTTTTACCCGATGTATTCCAGCATCCAGCTGCCATGCACGTGGGCATTGTCAGTTTCACTATAGCTCTGGTGAATTTCAATGGTGAAGTCCTCTGGAAATCTTCAATAATTGTTGTTGATTGCAGATGTGTCTAGTAGTTCCCATTGATTTAGCTTGGAAAGCGGGGAGAATGGCGCTAGGCTTACCGCACCGTGACGTCACTGCTGGAAGATGGCAGGAGGGAGGGGCTACTATATTTGGGCAAAAGTGGGCGCTCCCAGACTTTTTTTTTTTTTTACTGATTAACTCTAAATTCATTAAATCACTGCAAACGTTTTAGTTTTAGGTATAAATAATGATCCATTGATCATTCCTTGATAATTGGACTTTTCCTTTAAACTTTATCCTGCTATTAATCATGAACAAGGCAGGAAGAAGCCTTGATTCCAACAGTCAAACAGCAGACAGGTCTCTGACCCTGAGTGAATAATTTTATTTTG